GATGCTTTCCATATTGACAGAAAAAATTCATGAGGATTAAAGATAATGTCTCTTTAATTGATTTTTTTTTTTTTACCATGATGAACAGTAAAATAATATGAGAAAAATCTATGCTGCAATTTTTCCCTTTGCGAAAACTGGAATTACACCCGCAGGCAATTCCCGCCGAGCACAGGCCCCGCCCCCACGTGCATTCTTTAAATGCAAGAAAACAGATATGGGTATTTTTCAAAATAGCTGAAAGTTTCATGATTTGGGGAGGGGGCAGGTGTGGAAGATGAGTTTCCCACACAACACAGAATGTGGAGCTAAGGAGGGCACCTCTGATAAAAAGAGATTTCTGTAAATACACGAGAAAAGCAGTTCTGTTGACACTTTCTTCTTCTGTCTATAAAACGCACGAGTGACAAATAGGCCATGTGTTAACACCAGACAATGAAGATCCCCGCTCTCCACTGATCACCAGTGATGACGCTGGCAGCTTCTTTTCTGCAGGTTCTAGTGACGCCCCCCTTTTGAGCTCGCCTCCCGGAAACAAGCTTCCCTTCAAACCCTGGGTCTGAGCCAGCTAGGGATGTGAGTCCCTTGTTCCCAGTGAGAAATGGTGGCTCTGAATCTATAAAACACACCCTAAATTCAACCTGCCGACATGGACCAGCCGCTTTCAGCGTTAGCCGTAAAGACTGGCTTAGTGTGAGATCTTGAAAGAAGAAACAAACCGCGGTGTGGCTGTCACTACGTTAACCTCAGCTGAGGCACAGAGTCACTGTCCAGGAGGGCACGCAGCGTCCGTGTCATTCACGGGCAGCGTCTTTGCTCCCGATGAGGTTTAGAGTCCAACCTCAGCCCGAGTGATCACCTGTGACATAAAATTGTCACAGAGAGGCCTTGATGCACGTGCCTGGAGGCTTGACCTCTGTCCTATGACCCAAGCTGCGGTGACCCCTTGGTGGCGGGCAGGTGGGCACTGCGAATCACTCTCACCGCACGTGTCTTGTGCTCCTTGCAGGTGTTAAGGCCCCAGATCAGGTGAGGCCCGGCTCTGCCAGCCATCCACCATGGTGGTGGCATACCCTACTGCCACCGCCACCACCACACCTGCTGCCACCGTCACGGCCACCGTCGTGATGACCACGGCCACCATGGACCTGCGGGACTGGCTGTTCCTCTGCTACGGGCTCATTGCCTTCTTGACGGAGGTCATCGACAGCACCACCTGCCCTTCAGTGTGCCGCTGTGACAACGGCTTCATCTACTGCAATGACCGGGGACTCACCTCCATCCCCCCTGACATCCCCGACGACGCCACCACCCTCTACCTGCAGAACAACCAGATCAACAATGCTGGCATCCCCCAGGACCTCAAGACCAAGGTCCACGTGCAGGTCATCTACCTGTACGAGAACGACCTGGACGAGTTCCCGGTCAACTTGCCCCGCTCCCTGCGGGAGCTGCACCTGCAGGACAACAACGTGCGTGCCATCGCCAGGGACTCGCTGGCCCGCATCCCGCTGCTGGAGAAGCTGCACCTGGACGACAACTCCGTGTCCACCGTGAGCATCGAGGAGGACGCCTTTGCCGACAGCAAGCAGCTCAAGCTGCTCTTCCTGAGCCGGAACCACCTGAGCAGCATCCCCGCGGGGCTGCCCCACACACTGGAGGAGCTGCGGCTGGACGACAACCGCATCGCCACCATCCCGCTGCACGCCTTCAAGGGCCTCAGCAGCCTGCGGCGCCTAGTGCTGGACGGCAACCTGCTGGCCAACCAGCGCATCGCCGACGACACCTTCAGCCGCTTGCAGAACCTCACCGAGCTCTCGCTGGTGCGCAATTCGCTGGCCGCCCCACCCCTCAACCTTCCCAGCGCCCACCTGCAGAAGCTCTACCTCCAGGACAATGCCATCAACCACATCCCCTACAACACGCTGGCCAAGATGCGTGAGCTGGAGCGCCTGGACCTGTCCAACAACAACCTCACCACGCTGCCCCGCGGCCTGTTTGACGACCTAGAGAGCCTGGCCCAGCTGCTGCTCCGGAACAATCCTTGGTTCTGCGGCTGCAACCTCATGTGGCTGCGGGACTGGGTGAAGGCGCGGGCGGCTGTGGTCAACGTTCGAGGCCTCATGTGCCAGGGCCCCGAGAAGGTCCGGGGCATGGCCATCAAGGACATCACCAGCGAGATGGACGAGTGCTTCGAGGCAGGGTCACAGGGTGCTGCGGCCGCCGCCGCCAAGACCACGGCCAGCAGCCGCGCCTCTGCCACCACACCCCAGGGCTCGCTCTTCACCCTCAAGGCCAAGAAGCCGGGGCTGCGCCTCCCTGACTCCAGCCTCGACTACCCCATGGCCACGGGCGATGGGGCCAAGACCCTGGTCATCCACGTGAAGCCTCTGACGGCAGACTCCATCCGCATCACGTGGAAGGCCACGCTCCCCGCCTCCTCCTTCCGGCTCAGCTGGCTGCGCCTGGGCCACAGCCCCGCGGTAGGTTCCATCACGGAGACCTTGGTGCAGGGGGACAAGACGGAGTACCTGCTGACGGCCCTGGAGCCCAAGTCCACCTATATTATCTGCATGGTCACCATGGAGACTGGCAACACCTACGTGGCTGACGAGACGCCCGTATGTGCCAAGGCGGAGACGGCCGATAGCTACAGCCCCACCACCACGCTCAACCAGGAGCAGAACGCCAACCCCATAGCCGGCCTGCCTCTGGCAGGCATCATCGGTGGCGCGGTGGCCCTTGTCTTCCTCTTCCTGGTTCTGGGGGCCATCTGCTGGTACGTGCACCGGGCCAGCGAGCTGCTGACCCGGGAGCGGGTCTACAACCGGGGCAGCCGGAAAAAGGATGACTATATGGAGTCTGGGACCAAGAAGGATAATTCCATTTTGGAAATCCGAGGCCCCGGGCTGCAAATGCTGCCCATTAACCCTTACCGCGCCAAAGAGGAGTACGTGGTCCACACCATCTTCCCCTCCAACGGCAGCAGCCTCTGCAAGGGCACACACACCATCGGCTACGGCACCACGCGAGGCTACCGTGACGGCGGCATCCCCGACATAGACTACTCCTACACATGATGCCCGCCTGGCACGCCCGCCCCAGCTCCCGGCTCCTCCTGGTGTGGCGACCCTGTGGCTTTGCTCAGCCCGCTGCCACCCGACAGAGCAAGGAAAAGAAACTCCGTGATGACTTTCCCACCAAAAAGCAAAGTTTGGGGAGCGCTGACAATTTTTTAGAACACGACAGGGGAAAAAAAGGGAAAAAGAAATTTTTTTTTTAAACGGTAGAAGGCAGGAAGGGGTATCTGACGTTGCTGAAGACCTAATTTATACCGAAGTACGCCCTTTGGAGAGGGAAAGACTAAAAACAATATTGCAGGAAGGGTCGGACTGGTTTGTTTTTTTTTTTCCCTGAACTGCAAAGATACTACCTGTACAACGTCTGTGTATGTCTCACGCTCTGTTTGGGGCCGTCACAAAAGGACCGCCAGAGAGAAGCAGCCGACACGCAAAGTCCCCACGCAGCTCTCGCTGCCAGCCGCTCACTGGCCACGACGTGAGGGCGGTTTTCAGGCTCCTCACAAAGAAGAGGGGGAAGAAAAGGTCTTTTGCTATGGAGATGTTGTCCTGAAATCTCTTCTCTGGTTCTTTCCGTACCGTTTCCCTTACAGACTTTCAGAAATACTTCGTCCTTCACTGCATTCTTTGAACAATGATGTAGCCAATTAAAAAAACAAAACTTTCTTTCTCCTATACTGAAACCGTCTTCACTTCCATGCACCATACTCTGTGGAAGCCCCATGGAAGCTGCGGCTTTCCCGGCCACCTGAAGGCGCATCTATCTACCTATCTATATGTCGTGTCTCTAAATACAGACTGGTAGGTAGAGCCACATAGATGGTCCTTACAGTACTTCCTGGGTCAGTTCGTACAATTTCTTGAGACAATAGAATCGCGAAAACGTTGCTTTCTCCTAGCAATCACCGAGTAAGTAGACACAGTGTGTTGGGGATGGGAGTGGGGTGGGGGACAATGCTGTTCCTAAAGGCGGAGGCGTGTCTGTCCTGGACGGGTGGCTGGGGGGACCCTGGGCAAGGGATGCTTTCGGTTTGATCCTATCTCGGGTTGGCCAGAGCTGGGCCGTGCTCCTTTCTCATACAGAGAAACTTTCTTTGACGGCAAGTGTCCTCCTCTCCCTCCCCTGGGAGACAGAACACGCGGTCACCTCAGCAGCTACTTTCTCTGTGCTCTGTGCTTCCTCCTGGGACAGGTCATTGGCATAGGAATGGGTTTTTTTGTTTTTTTTTTTAATATCAGGTGATTAGACCTAATGGTTTCCATGGCTGCTCAAACAAAGCCCAGAAAAAAAACATGAAATTTCTCAGAAAAGCCCTGGGAGATAGAACCCTCAAACACAGAACACTCAGCCGTGCCCACCCCTGGGACTGTTCTGGAGACGGAAGCCCAGATCTCCCTCTCAACATGCCAGCCTCCAAAAGGGGACTGACCGGGGCCTTCAGAAGAGTTAAGATTTTATTTCCTCCCTCTGGAATCAATGTTGCCATCATTTATCAACGGGCAGTGCAGTGTGGCAAGCCGTGAGATTAAAACAATGATTGAATCATGGCAGCGAATCTGGAAAAAAGGGCGGAGTGGTGCCTGGGTTCTGATATCTCCTGCGTCCCAGCGCCCGGGGAACTCAGGTCACCATTCGTCAACATGCCGCTTGTCCTGCACCAGCGAAAAGCGATGTCAAAAGAGAGACGCTGGTCTGAGGGCAGGGAGGGTGAGAAGGGGTCCGGCTTCTGGCAGTGGCGTTTTCAAAAGGCCTCGACTGCTTTGACAAAAGCCAGAGGCAGGAGGATGAGACTGAACAGCAGTCACAGGGCTGCCGTGACAGGACCAGGGGCTGTCCACTCACCGGACATGAAAAGATGCTACGGGCCCCTTCAGTGAAAGGGAGGTGGTGCTGTTGAAGGAAATGGACATGACAGCGGCATGAGAGAGATGGAGAAGAGGCGCGGGCTCTCCATGGCCTGGCCAAAGACACGGTCTCACCAGATAAGGATTCTCACTCCCCAGCCACAAGGAGACGCCAAGGGGCATGGACGCGTTTTAGTATAAAACAAGCCCTTTTTCCCTTTTTCCACTTGAATTATTTTTCTCATACAATGAGGTCAGGAGAGAAAGTTTTCCAAGCCTTAATTTTATGTCTGTATAAAGATGGCCTTCCCTTCGACCTGCAGTGCCCCCAGACACAGGCCTGTTCCCAGCAGCTCAGGGAGGAGCAGAGGGGCCCCACTGGGTGTGGCTGGGAGGAGGGTGTGCACCAGGGTGCGGGGCGTTGGCTGGGGGACAGAAGTCCAAAGTCTCTGATGTTTCTGACATGAGGCCTCCCTCTCTCAAGGTACCACTTCTGCCTTCTCCCAGTATCCCAGGAAAATCAATCCCTGGCCACTCCACTATGGGTCCCCAAGTCCCCGCTGCCAACATGCTCAGTCCCCCATCTCACTCTAGGTCCTTCTTTTGCCTCTCCTCATGCCGGGCAGAGGTCAGATCATCCCCTTCGAGGCTAGGAAGGCATTTGGGGAGCAGCAGGTGGCCCAGTGCGGTGAGGGCTGTGGGGGTGGGCCTTGCAGGGCCAAGAGCCAGCACATGCCAGCAATACCCTCCAAGACCAGGCGTAGGGATGAACTTTCCTCCCCCAGAGCACAAGGCAGGCCCAGGCCCACCAGGGCCCGGGGACGACGCCTGCTCCCAGCTCTCACGCTAACAGGGCTCAGGCAGGGCTCACGACGGGCTGCAGCGCCCAGGCCCCGCCCGCCTCGCTGTGTGCCCACCAGTGGAGACACAGCAGACAGTGGAAACCTGGCCCCGCTGGGGCTCTGGGGCGCGTTCTCATCTTTTCTGCCCTAGGTGTCCTGACATCCTCCCAGCGTCCTGTCGGAGAGTGGGCCCCCAAATCTCTGCAAATGTCCGCAACGTCTCATATCCCCGCAGGACCGAGAAGCCAGGTCCACTCTGAAACCCCATCCCTCCTGGTCCAACTCCTCTGAGCTGACCACAGACTGCAAGGAGAGAGAGGATGTCCCCAGGGCACGCAGCCTCCCAACCCCCTGGACACAAGTGAGGACACAGGGCCCCTGAAGACAAGCCTGGGGCTTGGGCTACCACTTCTGCCTAAGAATCTCCCTTCTGTGGGTGGCCAACCTGACCCTTGCAGCCTCTAAGTAGCCAGGACAATCTCACTGGCTTCAGCATTGATGAGTATATTTTGTGGCATTTAAGGAAGGTTTAAAGTTTAAAAAAGAGAAAAGAAGTCTACGATACTTCTTTGGTTAAGTGGTTTACCCTTCGTGGTAATTAGATGTAGTGATTGGAATCTCTTTTCTATTACATGGCAATTTTCCTTTAAATTTCCCCTTTAAAAAAAAGGGGGAAAGAGAAAACAAGGAAGGAAAGAAGGCAGCAGGGCCAGGAGAGTCATTTGCATTTTGCGAATGAAGCCTCTTATAAGCTCAGCTCAGGCGAGCAGCCCAATGTATGGAATGCTTAAGAGATTACTAAGAATAAAATCTATTAATTAGTCATACTCAATTCCACAGACATGATGTGCATCAAAAGCTTCTTTTCTTCCCTTTTCTCCTTCCCTCTTGCTGCGGCCTTCCATGGAAGCCTCCATCTTCTCCTCTCAATTGGCCCCGGCTTCCTGGCCCGCCTCCACGGGAACATGGGGCCCAGTGGCTGACTAGGGGGCCTCCCCAGCCAGGGCCGACGCTGGGTTTGGGGTCAGGAGCTGGGCGTTGGCTTCCTCCAGCTCTGGGTGATGCTGCTGGGGAGGTGACAGCAGCTAGGAAGATGGTGGCGGCTGGGGAAGCCCAGGCGTCCCCCCCAGAGCCTGAAGGCCACGCCCGCCTCGTGCTTCTCACTCCCTGGAAGGTACAGGGAGGCCCGCCAGCCCCAACAGGGGGAGGCTGAGGCCAGGCAGGGAGTGAGGAGGTGTTCCCAGAGAGGTGTAGGAAAGGTGTGCTTTGCGAAGCCGCAGCCTCTGTTTCCCCTTCTGTAAAGTGGGAGTGGGCTGAGATGGGGGTTAGCTTCACCCACTGATTCTGGAAGGTTCTAGTTGGTCCAATGCAGGTGACGGAGGCCCGGAGCGGGAGGGACAGGCCCGGTGAGGGATCCCTGTGGGATCTGAGCAACTCTGAGCCTGGGGCCTGGACAAGGGGACAGACAGCGTGCCCGGGACTGCTTCTGAGCGTCCCTCCTTCACTCTGGGAGCTGGGGAGCGAGGGGAGGACACCAGCTCCGCCCCCCGCCCTCCCCCAGCCCAAATGGCAGCTAAAGTCTCAAAGCCAACCCACTCCGCTCCAGAAACCTGTGTCCTACTGAACGCACGAGTGAGGACAGGGCACCTGAGGCTTGTGTTTATGAAAAATACAAGGCAAATTGGATGCGGCAGACAGGGAGCGATAAAGCTGGGGTATCTGCTGGAAGGAGGGGCCTTGGAGCGCACAGCAGCCTGTGTCCCTGAGGACCAGACCGTGTTCTCAGGGCCAGGACCCGGGCAGGGTCAGCTATGGGCATCCCATGCACCCGCGTCCCCTTCCGCACTCAAGTCAACGCAGGTGGCGGGCGGCAGACGCCTGGTGCCAGATCAGCACCAGGCTGAGCACCCACGAGCACGGCACGGCCCTGCTCAGGCTTTCTAGAACGGAGACAGAGGACGCATCTTTTTCCTAAGGAGGGATAAAAAGGCTCAAAAATGCAAATCATTACTGTTTACAACCAAGCGAGTCTGCTAAATTGATTAGGAGAGATTACACTCCTTGGAGGTGAAAGGAAAGGGGGATTTTTTCAAGTTTTATGAACCTGCCCCCAGTGGCCATGTGCAAAGCGGGGATTTTCCAAGCCTGGCTCAGGGGGGCTGTCCCTTTGCATCTCCAGGGGGAGCGGGGGGTCTGTGGGGGCTGACACCACATTGGCCAGAGCTCTCGGAGGTAACGCTGGGTTTGATGGAGCTGGAGATCGAGCATGGCCCTTGGAGAAAGCAGTTTTGCCTCCACGGAAAGCCTTGTGCTTGAGTGTCTAGGGCAGGGCAGGCTACTTGACCCACACAGGTCATTCAGAGGCTGTCTCAGCCTCCATCAGAGACTCTAACCCTGCCCTCCAGATTCGGTCTGCCTTCAGGGGTCAAAAGTGAGAAGAAGTGGCCAGTCCAGTCACTTAGAGTAGGACTCTAGAGCCATGAGCTTTTCTGCTTCCTTTCTGTTCCAGGGTCAGTCTGTTTCTGATCCATTCCCTGCGGTCAGTGAAAGGGGAGTGGGGCCGACTGTAAAGGGAACACTTAAGGTCAGGGAAGGGAAGCCCTGGCCTAGAAAAGAAATCAGACAATGAGCTCTCCGTCACCAGGAGAATTCAAGCACTTGATGGGGATATGACAGATAGTTTCCAGCCTAAGCCAAGGCCTGGTTCTTTGACTAGAAGATTCTGGTTCCCACCCTTACTTTATTAGGCCCCAGGACTCTAAAAGATATAGAGATGATCACTGTGCTGTTCGAAATGACCAGTGTCCCCTATAAATCCCAGGTCAGGACCATCCCACTGCGAGGCCACCCAGCCCCGTCAAAGAGCTGCTTGTGCCACTAGAAATGCCACAAAATCCCCATCCTCAGTGTCCCAGAGGCATTGAGAGGGGAAGTGTAAACATGTGCCACTCGATCCCTGAGTCGACAGGGTGTTCCAAGGGTGACCCACCCACTTCGGCTGGCTTGCCTGGGGTCTCTAGGGAGAGACCGCCGGGGACTAGGCCTCAGGGTCCCCGGCTGCGTCCTGGACCTGCTGTCAGCGTCAGGGCCCCTGCGAGCTCCCTCCACCGCCCCACTGGCTGTCCTCCCAACTCAACACACTCAGCGCTGCCTGCTCAACGCACCGTCCCAGCCAGGTTGACGGCTGCCTGGGGCACTGTTCAGTCTGCCTTTTCAAGCATTTACCATTTCTTTTGAAATGTTCCAAGTACTTGCCTGAAAAATCCACATTTGCTTCTTTATAAACACTCACAAAAAGACTCCCCAGGCTCTTGATTCCTCCTCCCTCTACTTTCCCCTTCTCCCTTTGCATTTTTAAGATATTGTTTTTCTCTGGTTTTGTAAATTCCATCATCGCTGGGGTCAGGCCCACTTTCTCACCATGAATGGGATTTGCAGGTGTGCCCAGACCCGAGGCCACAGGGGCAAAGCCTCTGTTCTCCCATCCCACACAGGGCAGATCTTCGGCCTGGGGCAGCTCTTGCCCTGCTCCCTGCTGGACCAATGGTCACGGCCACGCCCCCACC